TATATGAATATCTGTTTATCAACAAAATAAATTTACTCTTCTCCCACTTAGACGTAAAATATTTTCAGAGCTCCTCTTGCTGAAGAGTTATTAAGTAGAAGAAAGAAGTTATATAAATATCTGTTTTGCAACAAAATAGATTTACTTAGACGTTAAATAAAACTAGAAGAAATAGTATTATAACAATGTATAAGTTTATCAATTACCCCTGGAAGATTATTTTACGATCAGATATTCATAAGGACAAATAAAAAAAAATAAAAAATACTGACAATCAGATCAGATTCGTTGAAATCTTTCATTGATGCAGAAAAATAAACTTGTCTCGTTCTGAAACTCCAGTATAATTTATGATTTATTTTTTTGTTATGAACTATTAGAACTTAATATTTCTTCATAGCTTTTTTTGTTAAATTTTGTAAAAAGAATATTTTCTAATTCACTGGTGTATTGAAAAATTCCGCAAATTTAAATATGCATAAATTTCTTGGACACCCCTCTAACAAAATATCTGCCAAATAACTCTCTCCAGACGAAAATGTTATAATTTGTAGTTTTATAAAAATTCTGGCAACATTCATGATTTCTATGATTCTATGATTTTTTAGAATGTTTATAAATAGATAAAAAAAACACCACCTTGAATTTGAATTCAATCACGGGTTGATCTATAATTCAACAATCTTTAAACTTAAGAAGGTGTCTTATTTTTACTCTTTCATTTAAACCCCATGCCGACAATCTTATAAAAAAAATTACGGTTTAGAGGTAAAATTGGGATAAAAAATCACAGCTTTCTAGAATACGGTTCAAACTGTCAAAACTATTTATTTTTTAGGATTTGATAAACCTTATCAATAAGAAATCTACTGAAATAAAGAAAAAAAACTCCAAACCTGTATGCTAGTCTTAGTGTGAATAGTTCTAGTGAGGCGGATTGAAACAATAGTTCCCGATCCTGCCGACAGAGGTCTACAAACCCAGGAATCCGCTCGCAGAAAACTCGAATAACATCTATTGATGAGGTAAGAAGTCCATAAAACTGTGAGATCCTGAAAAAAATCATAATAAACAATAAAAACGGTGAAACCGGAGATCGGGCGAGAATCTGGATTTCAATGAAAAAATATATCAGGGGGATGAAAAATTGAATAAAATCTGTTGATTTTTGACCTCTTTTTGATAGGTCTTTGAAGAACATCTCGACAGCCTCATATAAATTGACTGTCAGAATTAATTTTAATCTATTTTTTTATAGAGCAACAATTACAAATGAGAATAACAACTTTAAAAATAATTCCACAATAAATCACAAAATAATGATTTTAGATATTTTATATATTATAATCATTTAAAGTACCAGGCCTACTAAAAGAGGAAAAAACGCTAGAATACCGGAATAATCATCGCAATCAAGTGAGATTCAAGAATTGACCCAATTGTCCTGATTCTTGTATTCTTAATATATTGATATCCTACCGTGCAGTCTCCGTCTCGACAAGCCCCGCCTTGTTGTCCAGCTCCTCCTCCTCCTTGATCTCCAGGTACTGGGAGAAGTCCAGGTTTCCCAGGTCTGGACTTGTATCCAGGTGTGCTCGGACCAGGGAGGAAACAAGAGAAACCTGGTTCGATATCGGACTTTCCATTGGACTCTTTGGTTTAGATGGAAGACGACCTCTACGTCCCTTTAAACTATCCGTTCTCACAACTTCCTTCACCATTCCTACAGTTAGACATTTCTGGAACCTGCAGAACTGGCAGCGGTTTCTCCGCCGTTTGTCCACGGGACAGTTCTTATCCGCCAGACAGACATACTTGGCGTTCTTCTGAACAGTTCTCTTAAAGAATCCTTTACAGCCTTCACACGTGCGCACTCCATAATGTTGACACGCGGCATTATCTCCACACACTGCGCACAGCAGACAACCTCCACCCTAGAATTACACTTTATGAAATATCAAATACTTATCATTTTTATTATTTATGTCACTTTTTAAAGTTATATAATAACCATTATTATTAAAGTAATAATAATATTAGTAGTAGTAGTAGTAGTAGTAGTAGTAGTAGTAGTAGTAGTAGTAGTAGTAGTAGTAGTAGTAGTAGTAGTAGTAGTAGTAGTAGTAGTAGTATTTTTACCTTGTCTCTTTGTACTCCTTTAGATATATGCCCGGACCAATGATGAGAAGGTATATGCAGTTTACTCTCCCTATAAAAACATAATTTTTGTGTTACCATTTCAGAAGTTTTCGGGAACTTTTTTTAGGTAGTCATAAACACTTTTTTTGTACACTCTGTTAGGAAGTTCTAGACACTCTTTTTTTCAGAAATACACTTTTTTAGGAAGTAATACACTCTTTTAAAAAGTTTTACACTCTTTTAGAAAGTTAGGACACCCTTTTAAATTGTAGTAGAAAAAATGCCACTCTTTGTAAAAACATAAAAGTAATGAATTGTTTTAGATTTTCCTAAAGTAAGTTATTTGGATCCCCTTGAAGGATTTTAGAATCCCAGGAGCTCTAAATAAACCTGGAACACTTCCAAAAATATCAAATATTCTCTAGAAAGCCCCTCCCCCCCTGTATTCACCCTCTGCGCGCATTACACTAAATTCTCATAAATCCCCCCTCCCCCCTCCCAGTTTTGTATATAAAACAAACACCTAAGTATTCAAACACCTGGACTTGGCCTTGTTTGTAGATTCCTAAGATATTGCTTAAATATAATACAGTTTACCAGAAATATTGTACTGTACATGCTGTACACTGTTTAATGTAAAGTGTACATATCAATGTAAAGTACATCTATTATCTATCTTGAAAGTGTCCGCCGCCCACCATTGAAATATTTTCCGGTGGATTTTTCCATTTTCAACTCCTCGACCAATCTCACATTTTTCTCAATTAAACGATATTTTATAATTCCGGTCTAATTTTCCAGCTACTTAAATATTGAGTTAAAACGACGATTAGAGTTTTTAACAGGAACTCTACCGTTTCAAATAGTTTGAAGAAAATTTAGTAAACTTCTGTAATTCTCCTGTTAAATTAAATGTTAACTGACATTTTCTTGTGTGATGAATTTTGAATCAAATATTTCATTTTAAAGTTGCGTAAAGTTTAATAATTTAAAATTTTAGTCCAAATTTTCTTCACTGAGAATTTTGAATTTTTTAATTGTTTAACTGATTTTCTCTTGTGTGTGAATTTTGAATCAAATAATTCATTTAAAATTTTGATTATATAAACTTTTTGCCCAAATTTTCTTCGCTGAGAATGCATTAATTTTTATCATTGTTTTTGTAGCTTAACCGATTAACAAATCATTCAAATTATTCCTTGCGGAAAAGTAAATTAGGATTCCAGCAGAAAACTGATCATGCTTTTCTATTTTAAAATAAAAGAAGAGGCCATTTTTAATTTAAACCCTAACTTAGAGTATATTACCCCTAAATCAAGAAAAGACCAAAGTTTACAAATGAATTGAGTTTAAACTTTCTAAACCCTATAACCTTGGAAATTGATGGTGACCTTTGTTATTTCAACCTTAGACTTTTTGAATTTAACATAATTCATTGCTAGAAATATCAAAGGTCTACGAAATTGGGTTGCGAAGATATACAAATTGAACAATACGAGTTTGTTACAAGAACTCAGTTGGTTTGAAAATCTAGTAGGAATTGTAAAAAAAAACTTACATATTTTGTTGATTTGACTGCAGGGATCTTTTTATTCTAGATTCAGGTTCAGTCTCGTAGGCGTGGCATGATAAGTGGGGTACGCCCACCTCAGGGAACTCTGTGAACTGGAAGGGGGAGAGGTGGTGGTGGTGGGAGGGGTAGTAGGTGTGGTTAGACGAACTGTACAGATCAGGCTCTTTTTTCAAGCAAAAGTTTTCAACTGTTTCCAGGTGTTTCTGAGCCTAGGAATAATTAATTTAGTTAGTTAAAATTTCTTGAAAATTTGTTTTTTCTACGACTCTCCATTTATAGAGTTTCTGTCCGATTTACAAGGGTACTTTTACTAGTTTGTATGACCAAGAGTGAATAATAAACATCCTTGCTTTAACATTAATAATTTTCAATTGTGATTTCTGAACATTGGTGTAAATTAAACACCTTAAAAATATCTTTCATATTATTTATCAGATAAACGTTCAAACATATGGTTGTGAATCTGAAATGCTCCGTTTTATTTTAAATGGAAGATTATATAAAATTAAAAACGACAGTCCTTTTAGGATTATGTTTTGTAAAGTTAATTTTTGTAACAAAAGAATGCATCTGCATCTGCATCTGTCAACCGTTCATACTTTGTCTTAATGATTATTATTTGGAACATAAAATAATAATGGTATTTCTTTTTGATAATTGAACCGACAATATTTCAAAAAACATATCTAATACTTCTTTNAGAAACAGATTACAGTAAAGCATATTTTTGAAAATGTGCCCTAGACGTTAGTGACATATACCAATTGTTTTTGGTGATCACTGTGAACTCTTATCTTTATTTGTGTAATCGTTTGTAACCGATCGGGCCAAATTTTTTTTTTTGTGGTAACCTCACAAGACCCCAGGGAGTTTATGGATGAATTTCAATAATTGCTTCAAACAAAATTAGATTTTCATAAAATAAATTTTATAACCGAAAACATTTTTTTTTTTTATATATAATTTATAGAAAAATAAATATTCAGATTTTAAATTGAAGATGAATGACAGCCTAGTATACTATATTGTAACCTGGTATGTATCGTATGAAGGAGGTTCTGCATGTAAATGTGAGTGCTCAGAAAACTCTGTTTTTAAACTAAATAAAAACATTAATTGTTATTTCATTTATTAGTTCTTTGAGTATTAATGAAAATTTATGATCATTGCATTGGCTTGGATAGATATTCGAGGAAAAGTAAGGGTGAAAGGTATAATTAGGAGGTTTTGGGACAGACAAAATATCTAAATGTTTTCCCGAGTGTAATATCTTTTAAAGTTTTGTTTTTTAGTTTCATAAAAAATTATTTGATTTTTTTTATTTAAGAATGTAGGTAGGAAAAGGGTGTAGGTAGAAAGCGCAGTAGATGGGAAGTATTGTAGATATAAAAAGTAGAAGATGGAAAGAAGGAAGATGGAGAAGGGTGTATGTAGAAAAAGTAGAAGATGGAAAGAATGTAGATGGAAAAGAATGCAAGCAGAATTTAGAAAGAGCAGTGGGTAGAAAGGATGTAGATGGGTAGAAAGGATGTAGATGGGTAGAAAGGATGTAGATGGGTAGAAAGGATGTAGATGGGTAGAAATGATGTAGATAGGTAGAAAGGATGTAGATGGGTAGAAAAGGATGTAGATGGGTTGAAAGGATGTAGATGGGTAAAAAGGATGTAGATGGGTAGAAATGATGTAGATGGGTGGAAATGATGTAGATTGGTAGAAATGATGTAGATGGGTAGAAAGGATGTAGATGGGTTGAAAGTATGTAGATAGGTAGAAAGGATGTTGATGGGTAGAAAGGATGTAGATGGGTAGAAAGGATGTAGATGGGTAGAAAGGAAGTAGATGGGTAGAAAGGATGTAGATAGGTAGAAAGGATGTAGATAGGTAGAAAGGTTTTATAAATGAAAACCAAATGTTTGTTGAACTAACCTTATATTAAGACTAGAACAGTTTGAAACATCATACTGATGTTTATGTCTTAGTCGACTAAACTCATCTGTAACAAACTGTCGAGCCCCGTCTAGCGTCGACATAACAGCGGGTGTATATGTGTCGAGGAAACTAGGCAGGGTTTCAGGGTGACCAGGAGAGTGTCCGGGTGAGAGGTTTACAGGTGCACTGCTGGGTGACATCCCTCCGTAGATTAGTGGTCGGGTGATAAATTTAGCTTGGAACTCATGTGAGGATAGTTCATTGTAAGGAGATTGTTCCTAGGTACCCAAAAAATTTATTTAACATCACTTTATAAATACTCGTCAGTGAAAATGTATTTAAAACGTCGTTCATTGTAATAAGTAAAGAAAAAGGCTTTACATAAAAAAAAAACTAAAAGACTAGCTCAACCCAAAACTGAGCTTGAACCACTGTAAAATTGATTCAAGTTAAAAATGTAAATTTTATTTTGATAATCATTTGTGTGTGTAAAATAATTTCCTGGTCATAATGAGCATTTCCGGGGGATGAATCTTCATGTGACATCCCTGGAGAATGGGACGGATTGTAATGGTTTAAACATTGAGAAGCTGCTTCACCAAGAGCCGCCATGCTGGTCTCCGACAGCGGAGTATCCTCTGCTCCATACTCGGAGAGGGTGAGATCGTATGAGGAGGAGAGAACATCTCCAAAGCTCCCGGAACTGGCCGAACTACCAAACTGAAAATAACATTTTTAATTCTAGAATATTTGATCTAGTCCCAGGAAACAAGTGTCTATTGAGACTATTTAAGGGTCTTTCAATGGGAAAGTCGACGTTATTTCACCTGTGACATTAAGATTAAAGAGAAGCATGTCCGATTCACAACAGTACCCTCTATACCTATGACTGACTCTGAGTAAACAAGGAAAAAGATATAGACGTTATTATTTGGAAAATATTAGATTCTGACAATTTATCTGACTATTGTAGAGAACCCACGTCTGAAATTAATCAACTTTCATGTGGAAAAACAAGGTTAATTGTGTCATACTCGATCAGACAAATTTTTTAAGGGTATATTTGTTAATCAAACATATATGCCTCTTTATAAGTTAAAGGGACTGTAAAGGAAAAATGAAAGGGGGTATAGGATGAAACTTGAGAATCTCAGGCGTTAAAAGACATCTATCTGACGTGATACAGACGGAAATCACGTGACCAGTATAGTGCACTTTCATTGGCTGAAGTTCTGGTGACGTAATACAGGCTATATGGACTATATGTAATAATATTATCAATTATATCTATTGAAAATAAAAATTAAAAAAATAAAATAGGAGCAAACCTGAGATTCTCAGGCTCCTGTGGGATATAATCGTTTTTAGATTGGTTGCGTATTTGCTGAATATGATTTGTTTAAACCTATCACTTTTATACAAATTGCATACATATGAATTTTCGTATAATTTTATATCTATCGAGACAGGAACATGAGATAAAAGTCTTATATGTCTCGTTCAACACCTGAGATTCTCAGGTTTTATCCTATACCCCTTTTAAATTTTCCTTTACAGACCCTGTAAGTACCATTTAAAATTAAATCTACAGTCCTTGTAAGAGTTGTGAGGCATAAAATGAAAGCTAGGCGTGTGCCGTGCAGGTGAAAATTGAAAAAGTTTTTATTTATGTGAAATATGTTTAGAATTTATGAATACAAAGAAGTAGTTGATCTAGGTATGAGCTGGTTCAGCTTCAGATTGAAGATGTGCAATGCAAGCAACCCTGCGTTCAGATTCTTCAATTTGTATTTAATTGTGTTTTTGTTTCTGGTTCATCAATCTGTAAACTAACGGAGTTGGCCTCTTTTTACTTATTCATTAAAACGCATAAACAGACAAAAAGTAAATGAGAAAAAGTGAAAAAAATATGTTTAATCGGTCAAATTGGAATGAAACGCTACAGCTTGCTGGGATAAGGACCGAACTGTTTAAATCGAAAAGAAGCATTAAATTAAATTTGTAAAGAGTTAAAAAGGAATTCACAATGATTTCTACTGTTGAAACTAGTAGGAAATAGCTGATATAAATCCCATTGTCCCAATCCCATTGTCCCAATCCTATTGTCCCAATCCCATTCTAAAAAAACATGGTTGTCTGATCAAGTATGAATTAGATATCAATGTTTTTGTAACTTTAAACTGTTTATTTTAATTTGCGGGTTCTCGGCAAGAAATGAAGAAAAAAAACTTTTTTTAGTCAGAAAACGACGGTATATCTTTTACATTTTTTATCAGAATAAAGTTTTAAGGGTACCGTTGTAAATTGGGCTTTGCTATCCTTGTATGGAGGAACACTTAAAATTACGATAACAGTCCCTTTAAAATAATGTATAATTTGACAACACGCGAGTAATCCCTTTAACCCCGCTCAAGACTGAATCATATAAATCCCAATTAAAAGCTTTCTGAGAATAAAAGATAAATCACTATTACTGGTGCAAATGTGTGTGCATTTATTAGTTGTTTACGGTGAAGATTGATAACGTCATTATCGCATTATCATTTGAATATTGACACTAGAAGCTTCGGTGCTGGAGTTTAAAGGAACCGACAAGAATTCATTATAAAACAAGTTCACGCAGTTTGTACTTTTTTAATATTACGTAGATCATACAAATAGACTTTCTGGAGACTTTATAGTAGATCATATGCTATGAATATATACGTTAATCAACTTTTCTTGCAAATAACAACTATTTAAAAATGTCCTGACCTAGTAACAAGACAATATAACGGCTGAGCTAGATTACACGTAAACTGCAATCACTTAAAGAGGTTTAATGTATATATTAGGTATAAAAACGTCGTTTAATTGTCCTTAGTAGGTGTAATTCCCTGAACAGGGGGAGGGGTCGTCGATGAAACATTTTGCTCTAAAATGCCGTTTAAACCTTAAAAGTAGGACTAATAATCAAGATTCCCTGTAGAATAGCGTTGTTTGCTCAACAGTTTTTACTTCATTTATATTTGTCGTGTGTCCTAGAACCTGAACCACATCCACATTTCATTTCTTTTATATTTGTCGTGCCCTAGAACCTGAACCACATCCACATTTCATTTCTTTTATGTTTGTCGTGTGTCCTAGAACCTGAACCACATCCCCCCATTCATTTCTTTTATATTTGTCATGAGTCCTAAAACGTGAACCACATCCCCCCATTTCATTTCTTTTATGTTTGTCGTGTGTCCTAGCTAACATGAACCACATCCCCCCATACATTTCTTATATATTTGTCGTGAGTCCTAGAACATGGACCACATCCCCCCATTTCATTTCTTTTATATTTGTCGTGTGTCCTAGAACATGAACCACATTCAAATTTCATTTCTTTTGTTTGTCGTGTGTCCTAGCTAACATGAACCACATCCCCCCCATTCAATTCTTTTATATTTGTCGTGTGTCCTAGAACATGAACCACATCCACATTTCATTTCTTTTATGTTTGTCGTGTGTCCTAGCTAACATGAACCACATCCCCCCATTCAATTCTTTTATATTGGTCGTGTGTCCTAGAACCTGAACCACATCCACATTTCATATCTTTTATATTTGTCGTGAGTCCTAGAACATGAACCACATCCACCCGTTTCATTTCTTTTATATTTGTCGTGAGTCCTAGAACATGAACCACATACACCCGTTTCATTTCTTTTATATTTGTCGTGTGTCCTAGAATCTGAACCACATCCCTCCATTTCATTTCTTTTATATTTGTCGTGTGGCCTAGAACATGAACCACATCCACATTTCATTTTTTTTTATATTTGTCGTGTGTCCTAGAACCTGAACCACATTCACCCGTTTCATTTCTTTTATATTTGTCGTGTGGCCTAGAACCTGAACCACATCCACCCGTTTCATTTCTTTTATATTTGTCGTGTGTCCTAGAACATGAACCACTTCCCCATTTCATTTCTTTGTCATTAAGTTTGCTGCAGTTTCTGGGAGAAATATGAACTCAGTTTGAGAAGCACAAAGTTTGCTTACATTCCTACCGGAAACTGCAGTACACTTTTCATGTAAACAAATATGGAGGGATTCCTGTTTTAATCCTTGGTCCTTGTGTAGAATTAGTGCATGTGCTTTGTTTTCTATGACAAGTGAACTAAAGTCTACGTGTGCTATATTCTTCAATATTTATTACCATTATTAAGCCTTACTAACACTGGTATCTTCTCTCAAAATGTCAACGCTAAAAAAGGAAAAAATACATATTTAAGGATCAGCAGGGGTTAATGGATAGGCATCTTGTAAAATATTGAATTTATGTAGGGCATCTTGTAAAATATTGGATTTATGGAGGGCATCTTGTAAAATGATGGATTCATAGATGAGAATTTTAAATTATCATTGGATGATTTAAAGTTGAGTTTCTTGTACTATATTGGATTTATGGATTTGTTTCTTGTACAAAATTGGATTTATGGATTTGTTTCTTGTACTAAATTGGATTTATGGATTTGTTTCTTGTACTATATCATATTTATGGATTTGTTTCTTGTACTATATTGAATTAATGGGTTGGTTTATTGTACTATATTGGATTTATGGATGTTTGGGTGTTTAGGAGGGTCTATGGTTACTATGTATCATATTGGTTTTTGGCAGGTTACTCATGTATCAAACTAGGATTAAGAATCTTAATCAATTGTATCGTATTGGGTTAGGGTTGTATTTGCATCATGTAGCGTATTGGGCTGTATTTGTATCATATATTGTATCGGGTTAGGGCTGTATTTGTATCATATATTGTATCGGGTTAGGGCTGTATTTGTAAAATATATCGTATTGGGTTCATTTTCAAATTAAATGTTTTGAAAGAGAAAATATGACATTTCGTTTTTCACAATTTTAACAAACAAATATCTAAACTTAACAATGCTTTTATTGAGAATGATTATTTATTGCAAAACAACATCTTATTTCTATTCTGTAAACTGCTATTTTATTATTGTTGGACAAAAATATCAAAAATTACATTAGTAAACGGACGAAAAGCTTTTGATAAAAAATGAGAATATTTTGATTCCTAACATAAAATTTTTACCGAATTTGATTTTATTTATATTTATCATTTATCCTACTTAATTATCTTACCTAATCATGCCTTGAGTCGTACTTATCTTTACCACTTACCACTTCTTCACATTGTCCTATCTATCCTATTTTTCCTGTTCTACCATACAAACTATTAAACCTATCCTCCTAATCTTAGATATCATACTTATCTATCTACTCACCAAAACTATCCTACCTATCCTGCATATCCTACTTATCTTAGATATCCTACTTATCTACTTACCAAACCTATCCTACCTATCCTGCATATCCATCTTATCTATAGATATCCTGCAGTCCCCAATATCCATCCTATTTACTCACCACTCCTATCCTATTCACTTATCAATCCTATCCTATTTACTTATCCATCCTAGCCTATACTTTTTTTTATCTATCTAACTATATATAAATATATATATATATATATATATCTATCTAAGAACCATTACAGGGTAGTTTAGACGTGAACCTTATTCTCTAAGTGCTACGTGCTCGACTAGCAGTCAGAAAAATACAAATTTTGGGAACCAAAGGGAGCTGAAGTAGGAGAAGAGTATAGGAAATAAGAAAAAAGAAGAGGAGAAAGAGAAGAAGATAGTATATTAGCTTACAGGGTTACGCCAACATTTTCACTTAATTTACGCCAAAATTAGCTAACGCCAACACTTGACCGCCAGCATTAGCTAACACCAACACCTTACGCCAACATTAGCTAACACCAACACCTTACGCCAACATTGGAAAATGTGTAGGAAGAGAGGAGAAGGGAGGAGAAGGGTGCAGAGATAGAGGGCATGAGTGCTGGAGATTATTAATTTGTCTGAACAAATTTACCTTTTCGAAAACTGGATTCACAATAATGAAAGGATGGAATAACTGGATTGATTTTCAATACTCTATAATTTACTGAGCAATTATCCTTTAAATGTGATTCAGAAAAAATAACAAGAATAAATTAAATTTGAAAAATTTGATAAATAACGATCAAAATATATAGAACACCCATCCCAGTAGAATTAACTGTGAAGGGTGGGGGGGCTTCACAGTTACGATCAAAATATATATATAGTACACCCATCCTACAGTTAATAGTAGCTGGGATTCTGTTCAAAGTATTTCTTATTTTAAATATTTAATCTCGGATACTCTGCTAAATTTGATTATTGTTTAAAGAGACATTAAAATCCTAATTAGATCTAATTTACCAATCATTAGAAGAGTGCCATAAACATTTCACATCGGGTAATTAAACATTTGAGAAACTCCATTTAAGATATTCAGTTTTAATCTGAAAATTTATTGAAATAGATTTAGATTTTCTTTTTAAAGTTTCTTCAAGAAAATATACTTTATTTTGACCTATTCCAAATCACAGTTAATAATTTTTCCGTTATCTTACCCCACATATGGTGCTGTTGTGAATGCCACTCACTCATTGATTGGTCCGTTAAAACTTTGTTAACAGTCCCTTTAATTAACTGAAGGAAGCATGAATTGTATACCTGCCCCTGATGCAGTGTTAACATATTCCTGTCCCTTTCCTTGCTCTTCTCCAGGCCTACTGCTTTATTTCTTACAGGTCGCGTAGACTCTACCACACTCCGCGTAGAGTATTGGACTGGCCGCGTAGAACTGGAGTCAGGATATTCCCGGGGATAGTTGTGCTGCGTAGAGTAGGCTCCGCTACCCTCACCAACTAAAATATTTATGGCAAAAATTAGGAATTTTAAACATCACCGACATCGGGGTTTTTACAGGAAATTAGAATCATGGTTTGTTAAAAAAGAATATATATCCGGCTGATCAATTCACGTTTTTATTTTTTGTGCCGGACTTATGGACATTTCATTCAGAAAGTTGATATTAATCAAGGAGTTTTGTTCTATAAACACCAAAAATCTATTTATGAAAAGGAAGACATTTATTTTATTGTGTATGAAAAAAGAAATTGTTATCAAAAGTCTAGGAAAAAGAAAAGTTATCTGTAGTCTAATAAAGTGAAAAAGTTATTTTCATTTTCGGTCTATGAAAATGAAAAAAGTCATCTACAGACAGTCTACCTCGGGAAATGAAAAAGTTTTCCCGAGTTCAATGAAAAGTTTGGGTAAAGTCTACGGGAAAAGTTTGGGTAAAGTCTACGGGAAAAGTTTGGGTAAAGTCTACGGGAAAAGTTTGGGTAAAGTCTAAGGGAAAAGGCTTGTTCAATGATTCGCTCAGACGGTAACACGAGCTTTTTAGTACAATACAACAAGTATAACAATGCAAATAGAAACTTTTACAAACTTTTGCAAACCAAATGTAAGAAACCTGAGATTAATTTAATAAATTCAGGAAATGTTCGCGAAAAATGAAAGGGTGTATGCTTACGGCAAAAGATAATTTCTTTTGATGGCTACTAATCTTACTTTTATCTGTTGCGTCTATAAGGAGTAAATTGTTAAAAACGACCTACTGAAGAATGTAGCGTCCATACACGTTTAGAAAGTTGCAATATACGAATTTCTGAATTTGTATTGACGCAACGCTCTTCCGTATAAATCGTTTTTAACAATTTTCTCCTTATAGACGCAACAGATAGAAGTATGATTAGTAGCCATCAAAAGCGATTATTTTTCGCCGTAAGCTGTATAACCCCTTTCATTTTTAGTAAACACTCCCTTTCAAGATTATGATGCATATTTCAGATTCCTATTTATTTGTTCGTGGCAGACTTAACAATTAAAAACAAACAACACTAGAACTCGGGTTTCTAGTTTTTAGGACGCCCCTATTCTACTTCAATATTAACAATTTTAGCTATCTAATATACTTTTTCAAGTGGTAGTTTGTCATCGTACACTGCAATTAACAAAACTTTCACGGATTTTTCTGTTTAAATTGGTGGATTTTTAAACAAATAAATGTCGACATTTTTTTCCAAAAGTGAGAACGCTTGTATTTTAAATCTCAGGATGAAGCGTAGTGTTCGTTTACCCTGAAGGGATAACTTTAATTAAAAGATTAATTATGATCCTCAGATTTTAAAGTACCCACACTCGAGATCAAACATTCAAACTTAACAATATTCCACACAAGTTCTGACCATTTGGCAAAATTTCTCAAATTTTTAAGCAAGTTAAGATAATTGTTAAGTTAATATTCATTTTAATTGCACTGCATACAGTGGGTTATTTACTACAATGTTCTCACCAGGGACATATACAGGAATTTACAATCTTTTTTAAGATTCTGGCAGGCTCAGTACCATCATTTAAAGTAAATTTTTGGTTTATTTTCAATCTGTTTTCATCTGGTGGTGATTTACATATTCAAATATTCCTTGGATCTGAGGACACTGAGTTAAGTTGGTTCTGGAGCCAGCCTGTACGGTACTGCTGGCTCAAATGCAAAGACGACTGCTGCTCCGGCCAAAATGAGAAATTCTGACACGGCATTCGCGCCCAAGAGGACAACCAAGTTACTACACCTTTCCACGCAATTGTAAGGTTTATGCCAAATTCCAAGGAGAGCTATTTTATTTAGTTGAAGACCTGACATTGAATTCTACACATTCATGGTTTGCAGCATTTATTTTTCATGCTTAAAAAGTTTATAAATAAGTTTTAATTATATGATCAGCTAAAGATGAAATCTGCATGTTGGATTACAGAATTAACTGTGTGGAGATGTTAACGTCCTACTGTGTGGATGCTAAAATCTATCTATCAATGGTAAACTTAAATATCAGGATAAATGTCAAGATTATGATGCGCCTCGCTAGCTTCAGAGTATATCCTTTATTTCTGTTGTTTACTACTAAAAATGTAAAGGGAGCGAGTCCCGCATTTTCCAGGGGGGTAAATGGTATAAGTTTGAATTATAGTTTTTAACGATATAGATTGCGCTCACTTTTTTTCCTGTTTATAACAGTTAAAAGTTAAAAATATTATGATTTTAAACTTTAATTTGTGAACTTGAGAATTAAAAATAAGCCGTTGTTTGATTTTCTTGCCTTAATCTTCAACATTTTTATACCGATATCTACCCAACTTGATGGTGTAAACCTTTGATATTTCAAACTTTGATCTGTCAGAATTCATTGTTTAAAATAATCTATTGGTCTACTACAGCAGGTCGCAAATATATAACGATTAGAAAAAGTATTCAGTTTTTTTCTCATTATTTTTAAAAAAGGACAGACACTTTTTTGCGTTCCTGATGGGGCAGCTGAAGACTGGACACTGACAGATTCTGCTCTAGGTTCAGACGAGTTTGGTTCAGAACTAGTTGGGATGGAAGGAGTCGAGGGAGATCGAGAACCAGTTGGGATAATAGGAACTGGGGTAGATCGAGGACCAGCTAGGATAGTAGAAGCTTCAGATGTAAATCGTGGACTAGCTGGGATAGAAGAGGTAGATGGAACTTCAGGTTTATCACGTAAATATGGTGACACAGAGCACACGGGTCTCATATTAGCAGACCTTGAGTTTGAATTACTGAGCTGCTTGTCATCAGTATCAGTTGACATGAGCGCTTGTTTACTTGGATCCTATACAGCAGTTTCTTACATTTTAGTTGGAACTATGTTGCTCTTGTCTCCAGGTTGTCCTTGAATTCTCTAACTTATCCATCCTAGTTTCCTATTCCTTGATTCTCAAACCTTATCTTGGAAGGATGGAAATTACCAAAATGTGCGGAGTGGTTTACTCCTAATCGTCAAGATTAGCAAACCATTGCAATTTTCTCTGAAATTTAAATAAACAATGGAGGTTTGAAAAGTTCAACTTTAAAAATACTCTAGAATCCTGGCGTAGAAATAGAGAGCCTGGTTTTATATAATTGAATCAAAATCTTTCAAAAATACATCATTTGCAATCAGAGAAACCATCCATATTACATCAAATAGTTTAATGGTTTCTAAAAATTATACTATCCAAAAGCTTTAACAAAGAGAGTATAACAGAATTAGAGAGAAATCACCTATTTTCAATATTAATCCTCTTTCATCTTTAATATTTAATAACCAAATACTAGATTTACTTTCATTAAATTCAAAACTTAGCGTTGAAGTATACTGCGGAAAAAGTTAAGAATAATTTTCAAGTGAGTCAAGTGTGTTTAGAAGATTTCACGATTTGATATAGATTTTAAAGGAAGTGTCTACTTTACTTTCGTCTAACGCTTGATACCTTCGATCGTTGTTTATGTTTAGATAGTCAGGAAATTGAATTTTTCAAATTTTTTTGTTACTTTTTGAATAACTACAGGGTGAGTCAAAAAAAAGTGTGATTTGAGACGCCTGGTGCAAAATGGTACCTTTTTTGTGCAACTCTCCTGTATGGTGTTTTTTCAATATTTTTTGAAAATCCCCGAACCTTTTTGTCTCTCAAAATCAAAAGTTCAGAAAAGCAAAAATGTGTATATAAATTATTTCTATCGAAATCTAAAGTTTTATAAAGATTGAACCACCGTAAAAATTATACCAGAACTGAAAAATACGAATTTTCTTATTACAATTTTGCAAATTTTAGATTCTGTGATTCAATCTTTTTAAAATTTTAGATTTCAATAGAAACAATTTATTTACACATTTTTGTTTTACTGAACTTTTGATTTTGAGAGAAAAAAAGGTTCGCGGATTTTTTTTGGGGCCATTGAAGTACCAAAAAAAAATTAAAATTTTCAAAAAATATTGAAAAAACACCATACAGGAGAGTTGCACAAAAAAAGGTACAAGTTTGCACCAGGCGCCGCAAATCACACTTTTTTTGACTCACCCTGTACTTGTCCAGTGTCGAAAAAGTTTTATTAAAAATTATACCAAAACTGAGCCAGAACAGAGCTGCAATCTTAAAGGTCAATTAAAAAATGTCCACTTCTTGACTTAATCCCGGGAGATTATTTGTTATTAGTCAACAGCTCGCTCAGAGACGCAAGCTATGAGAAATCGGTTAATCTGTTGTAAAAAGGAATTGATTACTAATCTCAGACTCTAATTGTCCTATCTATATAAAATATTAATCTCTGTTTGTCTGTTTAAATGTTCAAATGTCCGATTATACGGGAATGGCTTGGTTTAAAAATTCCAAATTGGTTGAGTTTATTTTGTAAGAATATTTAAGTTTTCAGACAAAGCTGGGTTCCAAGCTAAATTTGATGATGTAAACCTTTGCTATTTCAATTTCTTTATCTATCAGAATTTATATTTTGAAATAAATGTCTAAGACATTGGGTTGCAAAGATATAGGGGTTGGAAGATCAGGATTAGCATGACAAATACTCAATTCCTTTACACATATTTTAAGTGCTGGCAAGGAAAAACGTCCCTCTCTTATACCAGGTTCATGACAAGATTATTTTTAAGATATTTATAGATATGCTCTTATTACGGGGAACAAATATAAACTGATGTGTTGGAGTTCATATATATATTTATATATAGGATTTCGGAGCAGAACAGAGAGACTCAGACAGAGAGAGAAACATTTAAGGATACAGAGAAGTTATAATCATTCTTGGAGATTAATATTAAATGATGAGAGATTAGGTTTAGGTAAAAAGGATTAAGGAATAAATATATTTGGATTAAACAATGCCTGTTTCAAATATTTGACCTAAATGATAACCCAGTAAGTTTAGGCAAAGGATGAAAGTATGAAAGGAAGGATGAGAGGGTGAAAGGATGAAAATATGAACGGATGAAAGGATGAGAGGGTGAAATTTTGAAAGGATAAAGGGTGGATGAAAGAACGAAAGGATGAAAGGATGACGGGTGAACGAAAAGATGAAAGGATGAAGACGAAATATACTATTGATTCCGACCAATTGATTCGCGTGCAAGATGACATGAAAAACTGATGGAGCTTAGAACAAGAACAAAACTCTTAAACAGTTTTTTCCTGGCGCAAAGCCGAACAATTTCTGACAAATTGTTCAAAATTGATGAAAAATGAGCACGTAATCTGCACTCTGCGCGTTTAGTGCGGAGATAAGGTTTTAAACTGTTTCAACACTTCTAAGGGTAGAGGTTTAAACTGTTTTAACACTTCTCAGGGCAGAGGTTTAAACTGTTTTAACACTTCTAGAGGTTTAAACTGTTTTAACACTTCTCAGGGCAGAGGTTTAAACTGTTTTAACACTTCTCAGGGTAGAGGTTTAAACTTCTCAGGGTATGGGTTTAAACTGTTTCAACACTTCTCAGGGTAGAGGTTAAAACTTCTCAGGGTAGGGGTTTAAACTTATTCAACACTTCTCAGGGTAGAGGTTTAAGCTTCTCAGGGTATGGGTTTAAACTGTTTCAACAATTCTAAGGGTAGAGGTTTAAACTTCTCAGGGTAGGGGTTTAAACTTATTCAACACTTCTCAAGTTTAACACTTTTAAGCAAGGTTGAACAAAGATAACAGGAGAGAACATTTATTTATTTACGAAAAAGATTTTAAATATTAAAATTGATTTTGGGGTTTTATAATATACAAGGCTCTAAAAAATTAAAGATACAAGTAAAGCAGCAATTTTTAGTTTTTTTCTAAATTTTAAGTATTAAACTTTTCTAATTCCTGACATTTGAAGTATATAAAGAAGATAAAAAATTTACTTTTAAATAATAAATAATTTATAAATCGTTATTCTAACACTCCCAGTTCCCCTCATCAGATTATTGCAATTTTACACCCTTTCATTTTTACAAACCAAATTTTTACTCTTAACTTTATATTTTATAAATATGTACAGTTATTTCTAGAACAAAGTGAACCCTTATTATTATAGTACAAAATAAATCATTATTATAATAGTACAAAGTGTAGCATAATTATAAAAGTACAAAACGTAAACTTATTTTAATAGTACAAAGTGTAGCCTTATCAAAATATTACAAAGTGTTGTCTTATCAAAATAGTACACAGTGTTGTCTTATCAAAATAGTACAAAGTGTTGCCTTATCAAAATAGTACAAAGTGTTGCATTATCAAAATAGTGCAAAGTGTTGTCTTATCAAAATAGTACAAAGTGTTGCCTTATCAAAATAGTACAAAGTGTTGCCTTATCAAAATAGTACAAAGTGTTGCCTTATCAAAATAGTACAAAGTGTTGCCTAATCAAAACAGTACAAAGTGTTGCCTTGTAAAAATAGTACAAAGTGTTGCCTTATCAAAATATATTACAAAGTGTTGCCTTATCTATATATTACAAAGTGTTGCCTTATCAAAATAGTACAAAGTGTAACCTTATCAAAATAGTGCAAAGTTTAACTTGAGCATAATAGTAAAAAGTAAAACTTTTTACTCCAAAGTGGATTTTCATTATAATAGTACAACAACCTTATTATAACCATAAATTGTATTCAATTTAATGTAATGTAACCATATTTCTTTTTTAGAAAAAAGACCCCCTTCCACCCCCCACCCCCTTCGTTAATGTCATAGAACATAGGGTGCACAGGTGCAATATATTTAGATCGTCATGTTGTTCTTGTGTCTGATACTCTATTGCCAAGAATTCTGATCAAAGGATTGGTAACGTTTTACAAAATTCTTTGGTAAAGGTTTATGGAATTATATTGTTTAACAATCCTCCATATGATAATGAAGTTTACTGCGCAAACATCCTAAGATAGAATAAAAACCGTCTGTCCTTTTAAATTAATTCTATTAAAAGGCATATTTGATAACATTAATTCGATAATAAATATTTTGTATGCCATTTATCTGAAAATAAAATCTTTGAATAGAAATGTTTGAAACACTATTTATCCTATCTATAATCATTAGAAAGGAAATATTTAAAATAGCATCTATCCTAAAATAAAATCCTTGGTTCCTTTTGTATGATCTGCAATGTGAGCTGGGAATGGGTTTAAGAATAATTAAAGTGAACTCGTGAACCATTTATACCTTTACCTTCTCCAACTTTCATGGACGCGCCTTTCATAAGCGCAAAATTATCTGCAATTTTACGACGTATCCCATTCTACACAGGTGGGGGGGGGGGGGGCATACAAAATGCACTTGCTAAAAGAAAAAATAAGAAATTTATTTCTGATAAAACTAAAACTTGCATTTAAGATTTAAAACTTGCGGAAAGGGGTAAATTGGTTGTTATGGTTCACCCTGTAAAGTACACCAGGACATCTGGATAAGCTGAACCCACATTATGCATTTTTATATTGTGTGTAGACTTTGGAACAAACATTAGACATGAGACATTAGACAAGAGACATTAGACGTTAGACGTTAGAAGTTAGACGTTAGGCGTTAGACGTTAGACGTTAGACGTTAGACGTTAGACGTTAGACGTTAGACGTTAGATGTTAGACGTTAGACGTTAGACGTTAGACGTTAGACGTTAGACGTTAGACGGTAGACGGTAGATGTTAGACGGTAGACAGTAGCCTTTAGACATTAGGCATTAGACATTAGACATTAAGCATTAGACATTCTAATCATTAGACAATAAACATTCTTAACATCAGAAATTGGATGTTAGACATTCTAGACATTAGACAATAGATGTTAGATGTTAGACATTATTCATGTTAGACATTAGAAAGTTGACATTAAACACACAACACATTAGACATTTCAATTCAGAAGTTTTTTTATGTTTTTGATTTGAATTTTATATATATTTTACTTTTCTTCTTTTACTTTTTCTATTCTACATTTTTAATTCTACTTTTTCTATTCTACTTTTTCTAATCTACTTTTTCTATTTTACTTTTTCTATTTTACTTTTTCTATTCTACTTTTTCTATTCTACTTTTTCTATTCTACTTTTTCTATTCTACTTTTTCTATTCTACTTCTTTAACCATCCTATTTCCATCTCCTTGAGTTAACCGGAATACATTTACATTTTTTCTTGGGTTTATAAATCAAAACTTAAGGATTTATGATATAATAAAAAAGTCGTATTAATTATTTTGCAAAAAAGCTCTTTCCGCACATATTTTACAGTGTAATTTAAATATGTCGCATGATTTGAGCTAATCATTTTAAGTATTCAATTAAAACGAAGTTTCAATGAATAATGTCATTATGTCTAAGTTTACTAAATTAAATCATAAATATGTACAATGTACTGCATTTTTACAGAATATCATGTTTCTAAGATTTTCGCTACATAAATACGACATTGGATCGCAAAGATGTAGAGATTATAAAATTAGAGTTTGTAAAAAAAAAACTTAGTTTCTTTTGTCTGAATCGGAGTGATCTATTATGTCAACACTTTTACCGGTAAACTCCCATTCATGAAAACCTGAAAATTGTTAAAAATCTTAAATCCCCGTCTCCAACCATCCCTGGCTAATGGTTTAAATTGTATACTACGAATGGAAAATAGATATGAGTTGTATTCTCCTAACCTCTCTCTTTTCAATCCGTTCTTCTAGGAATCAAGATCAATTTTTTTCACCCCTGGAGTTTAGAATCTATACAGGCCTGATACTAATTCAATCATTTTCACGATTCTATTTTTCTACCGATTAAAATTAACCGTTGCAAATTCACGATTGGTAAATTAAACCAGGAGGGTTAGGGGAGGGGGAAGGGGATGGGAGGGCGAAGGGGATGGGAGGGCGAAGGGGAGGGGAAGTGGGAAGCTTTGAAGAGCTGGAACACAAACAATGCGGGGGGGATCATGATAGAATATGACATGAATAAGTAATTAAGAATGTAAAAAATGTTTTACAAAAATCCTAAGAGACCGCCAAAGAAAATAGAAACGCAGAACAGAATATTTGAAGTTTAATAGTTTGTTTTCACTATTTTAAGATTTGCTACGATATTTGTATTGGAATTGGATACATTTTTTTTTACAAATTTTGATTTCACTTAAAGAACCTGGGCCTTTGCCACAAACTTAGATTTTCTATTCCCTATATCTTTGCAACCAAACGTTATAAACCTTTGATATTTCAAATTATAAATTCTGTAAGGTCAAAGTTAGAAATATCGAAGGCTTATACTACCAGGTGGCAAAAATAAAAGGGTTTGAAAATTTGAGTTTGTGGCAAAATCTCGATTCATTTCGTTAAATCTGTAAAGAGAAAAGACACATATCAAAATTTTTTCTGAATATTCATTGAAGAAAAGAACTAATGAAAAACAAAACGTTTGTCTCGGAGAAAATTTTTTGAATTATGAACTTAATCATCGGTAGCAGTACCTAGCTGGCGGCTGAAGAAAACATTTTTACCTGAAAATTGAAACAGGGTGTCCCGTGTTCTCCAAATATTTAATTTGAATTTTGTAGATATTCTCTTTATGCTGCACTTTAAATCTATTAACTCTGTTTAACTGTTTTCGGATGGTTCTTGTTTTTATTGCTATTTAGATTTTTTTTTAACGGTTTTAGTTTTTTCTCAATAATTTCAGAATCATTTTTTCTTTTTCGCTTTCTGAGAAATTTGCTCTAAAAAATTTATCATTCATTCACTGATCTGATAGAATATTTTTCTTACGATTTTTTGCAGTTTTCTTTAAGTGCTAAACATTGACAATTGGTGCAAATTTGAAGATTTATATGTTTTAAGTATAAGGTATTATATTTCTATGATGAATGTGTAAATGCATAATATGTATATGATGAATTTTTTAGTGTAGAAAACATGTAAAAAATGATTGTGTAAATGTATAAGATATATAGGATGAATGTATAAATGCATAAGATGTGTTTAATAATTTTTTAAATGTATAAATGTATGAATGTTTTTAATCTTTGTGAAGAAACAATCTCAAGAACTGACGAGGGTCAACCCAGACCGAAATATATTTTCAATAAATGTGGAACTAACATCTACTTTTTTACTCTACAGAGGTTTGGTCCATCACCATCACTGAATTTTAANAATATTTCACGTCTTGATATCAACAGGGCCTGCAAACAGATATCAATATATACAGGTGTATAGGTGTATAGATGTATAGATGTATAAATGTATAGATGTATAGGTGTATAGTAGGTGAATAGACAGATGAATGATAGGATGAATAGAGAGATTAATGGATAGATGCATAAATAGATAGACAGATAGATAGAAAGCAAGACAGACAGATGAATAGATAGATGAAAAGATAGAAAGACAGACAAATAGATACTACATGAATAGATAGGTAGACAGATATATAGATGAATAAATAAATAGACAGATATATGAATAGATAGATAGATGTATAGACAGAAAGATAGATTAGATAGAGCCATAGATTACAAGTTAAATAGATAACTGGCAGTGCAGTATACTGTATCACGTGACCAGTATACTGCACTCTCATTGGCGAGAGTTCTTGTGACGTAATATGGACTTATAAATATTTATAACATTATCAATTATTCAATTTTCCTTGGCAGTCCCTTTAAATAGATAAATATTTATATGGATAGATCGAGAGATACGTTTGATAAATAATTTATTTTCTGTTTTAATTATTAAAGACATCAATAATTATTCCATGATTTGCTAGCTTAAAATGTTTTTTTTTCGACGTTGGGGCACCCTGCAAGATGACGTCAAATATCGATAAATAGATGGATAAAAAGATAAACGATATGTATCAAATATTGACAAGCCAATCAACACACTCAAGATGAAAGACACAAAATGTAAAAAGGAATCAAAGCATCTTTTCGATTTTATTAAATTTTGTCATCATTTTTTTAAAGAGACTGTAAGCGTAATTTCAAGTGAGTTTCAGATTTACAAAGGTATCATCAAAGATTAATTATGAAATAGATATCAATGTTTTTTTAACGTTTTATTTCCATTTGTAATTTCTCTGCAAAAGTGATTTCTTCTTATAAGAAACAACGAGAAATTATCTGAATTAAACACTTTTTGAGTCAGAAAAACGACGTTATCTTCCACATTTTTAATCAGATTAAGGTTTCAATGGTACCGTTGTGAATCAGGATTGTCATGTTTGCATGGTCACTTGAAATTACGCATACAGAGTCTGAATTTAATGAATTTGAGCCGCGTCTCAAATCCGCGAAAAAACGTTTTCAATTGAGCGCCGGCTTAAATCTTGAAAAATTGAATACAATTTTAATCGGAAACAACTTTATTTGAGCTACGTCTCAAATTTAAGCCGCGGCTCAAATTCTTTAAATTAGGCCTCAGTTCTTTTAACGAGACTTTCTTTATGCGTAATTTGGTAATTTAAAAAACAAGCTTAAAGCTGTAAATAATGAAGAAACAGACTTAATAAATTCTGTTCAGCTATTTGAAATCTCATTCTAATCGTACACTTTAGAATATTGTTTATTTTAGTTTACAGTTAACAATTGTAAAACTTTAATAAACGTTATGCCACCAAACTACTCAAAACAATATGAAAACTGCATTTAATTGTAAACTAGGAAAATAATATGCATTCTATAGTTTCAACTGAAAGTTATTATTACTAGATCAGGATTGGTGGTTCTTATATAATTCCACATATTTCATCATTGGAATATTTAAAACTAGTTTGTGTAAACCATAAACTCAGTTTTATGTAATATAAGCAACTCTCTCTGCCATAAGCCACTGCTCCCTCCCCCCCCTCACCCGGCCCTCCCCATNGGACGGGTGGGTTATGTTTTTTAATAATTATATTTATAAAGGAATTGAGTTTTTGCCACAAACTCTGATTTTATAATCCATATCAAAGGTTAGAAAAGATAAATGAATTAGAAAATTTGAGTGTGGATTAAAAACTCAATTCCTTTGTAATGTAATAATGATAAATATAATAAAAATCAACCACTAAAATTAAATAATTTCGGTAAATATTATTGAAAACATTTTAAACAACCGCTGAAATCAGATTTGTTACAAAAACTTTTTTCTTCTTTCAAACGCTGGATCTCATATTAAAAAAACTGCTGGGTTTCACATTTTTAAGGAACTTTTTGTTTTTACCTTTTTTACTTAAAAAACTTAATCTTAAAAAGTAAAACACCTTTCAGTCTATCGAACTGTCTTTGGTTTTTTTAAAGGTCAAACAAATAAAAGAATTTATTCTGAAACAGCGCTCTCTCCCTTTGATTCTAGCTATCCAGTACAATTATCAAGATTATAATGGTTAAACTGTAGTTTGAATATTACAATAAAGATATTTAAACTTATTCCTAGAATCATAAACTAACATTTTACACAACAATTAAACTGTTTAAAACAATGTTAGCCTTGAAAGTAAATTTACTTTGCAATTATGTTCTTCTATTTTTTCTGCTNAGGCTAGGGAAGCTCTTACTTTCTAGATTTCGCAATAAATATTTGGATTTTTGCAAATTTGCCATTTTTTGCAGATTATTGAAGTAGAGCCCAAGGTCTTTCCAAAAACGCATCAAATGTTATAGATGTGTATCACAATAAGAAAATAGAGGGGGGGTAAATTTGATCCCCCCAGGCTAAATAGGGTTAAACAATAAGGGTAAAACAAGAATCAATTTCGATTAAATTTGTTAATATAAAACAAATTTTAAGTTATACATTATAATCTACTTTTTTAATATACAGGGTGTCCCAAAAAACATGGGAATTCAGTGACGAATTGTATATCTTCTTTGCTATGAATAAACATTGTAATACCTAATTTTAAAAGCCATAATATCATTATGTCTGCTAGAGTTTATTTATGAACAGTGAAGACGGACAAGTTTACTCTGTTTGTATACTGTAATTTTCTTGTTTTACTAAGTACAACTGTATGCAGTCAAAACATAAACAGACAAAATGTGAACATAGCAGACGAAACTCTTACAGATTTCAGCTTTCACAGTAGGTATCACTGTACTAAATCAAAGAATTATCTGAAAAGACGATATCGAATTCGTCACTGAATTCCCATGTTTTTTGGGACACCCTGTATAATATAATACTTTCATATGATACTTTTTTAATATTTATTAGGCTTTTAGGGTGATTTGATTGCCTTTTCTAGTAACAAGCTGTTGTCTTTGTATTCGCCTTTTTCCATCGAACTCTACAATGAACGAATTTTCCTGTTCTAATTGGTAGATTTTTAAACAGAACAAATTACGACATTTTTTCTAGGCAACATTTGTTAAAAAAATTGGGCCTGATAGGTTCAGCCGTTTTGACGTTTATCTATAAACATATATATACTTTGCTTACCTGTCTCCGTGTTTCTTTGTATCAAAAAAAATGTTAACACTTAAATGGGAACTGAAATGCCTCCAGGGAATGTTTATGTATGGTTAAAAATGAAAATTTAGCCTGGAAAAATGTCTAAATAGCAGCTTTAGAACACAGTTAACACCTAAAATTGTTCCGAGAGAAAAGTCACGAAGCGCCCTGGGAGCCTGGTTTAATAGAAACAGACAGACAGACAAGCAATATATGTTCAGAAAAGAAAAGTTTTCCTAGTATGAAACGTTTTTAATAAATTAATTTTCTTTTACTTTTTTTGGAAGATAAATTATATAAGTAAATTATTTATGGATTATTTGTAAATAAATGAAATTTGTTCAAAAGTAAAAATTCTGTTGATCACTTACTTGGAATGTACAAGAATTTAAAAAAAGAATTAAAAAACCTTTTTTTACCTGGTAGGTGCAGTGGTTAGAATATCTAATTCATGACGATGCTCAATGTTTACCTGGTAGGTGGTTAGAATATCTAATTCATGAGGATGCTCAATGATTTGGAAAATCTAAAAAAAAATATTTGTTAATTTATATTGTTCATATCTCTTCTACTTCCTGTTCTAAAATAAAATCTTGATAAACACATTTATCCAAAGTATTAATATATTGGCATTATTTATCTTTTAGAACATAGCCAGAAAAGAATTTTTGTTTTCCCTTTTTTTATTTAATAATTTTTATCGTCATAAAACAAACAAAATATTATCGGGGATCTAATTTCAAAAACTGAACGTGTTTGTAATCTTCCGATATAAATCAATCCCTTTCGTAAATATTTATAATTTTATAAATCAATGTGGGTTACAAAGGATTATAAATAAATGTGGGTTACAAAGAATTATATATAACTGTGGGTTTTGTAAATTGTAAATAAATGTGGGTTACAAAGGATTATAAATAAATGTGGGTTACAAAGGATTAAAAATCAATGTGGGTTACAAAGGATTATAAATAAATAAGGGTTACAAAGGATTATAAATAAATGTGGGTTACAAAGGATTATAAATAAATGTGGGTTACAAAGGATTATACAGTGAAACCCTTAATAACGAATACATCGGAAGAATTTATCAAATGTCGTCTTGACACTTTTTCAATGAGTTTTATACTATATTACGTAAATTTCAGTATTTGCGAAAATAAATAAAAAACCATGATATAAATAAATGTGGGTTACAAAGGATTATAAATAAATGTGGGTTACAAAGGATTATAAATAAATGTGGGTTACAAAGGATTATATATAAATGTGGGTTTTGTAAATTATAAATAAATGTGAGTTTTGTAAATTATAAATAAATGTGGGTTACAAAGGATTATGAATAAATGTGGGTTACAAAAGATTATAAATAAATGTGGGTTACAAAGGATTATAAATAAATGTAGGTTACAAAGGAAAATATAAATGTGGGTTTTGTAAATTATAAATAAATGTGAGTTTTGTAAATTATAAATAAATGTGGGTTACAAAGGATTATAAATAAATGTGGGTTACAAAGGAAAATATAAATGTGGGTTTTGTAAATTATAAATAAATGTGGGTTACAAAGGATTATGAATAAATGTGGGTTACAAAGGATTATAAATAAATATGGGTTACAAAGGATTATAAATGAATGTGGGTTACAAAGGATTATAAATAAATGTGGGTTACAACAACATTGTAAATCTACAGAGGATTAACTTTGGCTTTTTAAAAGAGGAAGAGAGGGGGGTGAGAATAATTATTCGTTTTTTTTGGGCTCGTCACGGACAAAATAAAGTTTTAGAATTTCATATCTTTTGAACAAAACTGTTGTATTGTCTTTCAAGAATGATGAGCACTCCGTTAAGAAAACAAATTTCTTACTCCGACTTCTACCACTAAGTGTTTGGATTAAGTAAGGTATTATTCGAGAAAAAGTTTAATGATCAAGTTCACTTAGTAGACCTCTACTATATCTTTGAATATATTTAATATTACAAATATTTTATATTAAACCATAAATCTTTTAGATCTATATTAAGCCTGTAGTCTCCTTTATATTGCTTTGGTCAGACTTTTTAAAGGAACACTGAGCGAATTTTGCAGTTTTGAATTTATTTAAAAAAATATATTCTAGTAAGTAAATCGTATAGATACAAATACCTGTATAACTTTAAAATAACACTCCCGTCTTCCCCTTGGGTATTTAGGGGAGTAGGGTCGACCCCCCCCCCCCTGTCCTGAAAATACCTTTGCTCCTGCTGCTGTATAAACTGCAAGTCCAACATAAAGTCCAACATGCTCAAGGACACTTCTCACTTGTTTTATTCGATCTTCTAGATTTCATGGGGAAATGAAAACCTTTATAGTCCAGCTTTTTTAATCAGCTCAATTTTTAACTATCATAAAATCATCCTCTTTTCACACACACTTTTATTTAAACGTTTATTCGAATGCAGTCATAGTTTCCAAGTGACCCTCAAATTTTAGCTAGTGGCATATCCGATTAACGACGGTACCCATCTTTATTAGATCAAGGAACATGGAGATATCATTTTTTGTCTAGCTAAAAAATGTTAGTGCCGAGCAAGGTTATAATGCTAGGAAAGTTATTTCAAAGAGAACCGGTTTCAATTTGTACGCAGAGTTTACGCAACTGCAATTATCTTTCCTTTGATTATAACCTTGGTGCCGAGAAATGTGCAAGTTTTCCAGCACTCCATTTTCAGCAAGAAAAAAATAGGTTTAACGCTCAATTATCAAACAACGTTTAAAATCCGTTCTGTTGTGAATTAGGCATGCCACTAGCTCTAAATATGACGGGTTGCTTAAAATTAAGTCTACTGCAATGTCCAAATTTAATGAATTTAAGCCACGTCTTAAATCCCCAAAAGCCGGTTTTAATTGAGCGCGGGCTTAAATCTTAAAAATTTTAATACAATTTTAAACATGGAACCAACCATATTTGAGCCTCTGCACTGCCTCAATACTACAAAAGAATTATTTTATAGAGAAAAAGATTAGGTTTACGCTGATGATGCAACCAAATCCAAATTGTTAAACAATTAAATTGAAACAATTAGATTAAATTATTTGGTTTTGAAAAGTAATTTGTTTTCTACCGTAATATTTGAAAACGAAATTTAAGAATGCTCGAAATGCGCCAAAATAATCTCAGCATCATTTCTTTGAAAATCAATCAATACAGTTGAATAATGTTTATCTTCTCCCTTTATTTCTTCGACTGCCTGCAGACGCAAAAAGTGACATTTTTAAAAATTTACATCCAGCACGTTCACATTTTTCTATAATTAAAAAGCGGAATAATTAAAGGAGGTAATTTAAAAATAAAAAAGGAAGAGAAACGAAAGAAAAACCGAAAGAAAGAAGAAATAAAGAAAAAAGAAAAAGACAGAAAGAAAGAAAGACAGAAGAATAAAAAATAAGAGAAAGAGAGAGAAGAAAAAAGAAGAAAAAAATGAAAGTAAGAAATTTAGAATAAAAGAAGAAAAAAGGAAAAAAGGAAGAAATTGTAAGAAAGAAAGAAAGAAGGAAAAGGAAAGAAAAAACGAAGAAAGTAAGAAAGAAAGAAAATCAGTATCTCAAACTTTCTCAAGAACTCAATCACCATTCATTCAATATTTATACTATATTTATACAAGCCTCAGTTATATACTTGACAATTTTTTATCCAATTTTCATTATTTTTTTTGCAAACATCTCTTTTTGTGAGATGAGATAGTAGAATAATATTGTAAATCACTCAAGTACTTATCTCATAGAGAATGTATTTCTTGTACCTTTTAAAATATTTAACCGTATAAAACTTCGTTGTTATTGTAGTTTTTATTTAAATAATAAGATTTTTTCATTATTTAAAGATACTTTATAGATTTTTTGCAACATTTGGAATAAACTTGTGCAAGGCATGTTGTATACCTATTGTACGCTCCTTCTTATACCCCATGTCCCATCCTCCCCCCTTGTAGCTCCCATCTAGCTCCCCCACCCAACTCCTATTTCTGCATTTCAATTTAGCTTCTTTCATGTATATACAGAGATACATTGGACCAAGTTTAGAGTTTAGAAAATGAAAGTTTTCAGTTGGAAAATTTAAATAAATTCCTTACCAAGTTTTCATACTTTTCCAGAGCTGGAAAATTTTAAATGAATGTGTTAAACTCGTTCCTAATGCAACAAAGTATTGTTCCGAAAACTTTGAAGCTTTATTCAGAAATGAGGAAAAAAATAAGATCAGGAATTATTTGAAACTGAGTTTTAGAACTACTTTATTTAAGTTTAAAGCAATGTTTCAAATTTTAAAATGTCCAGGTGTTAATTCAAAACAATTTTCATGATTGCGAAAATGTTGAAAGAACTTTTTATGAAAACAAACATTTTGGTAATCTGATTATATTAAGTTAGATCAAAACTCGAAATAGAAAAATTTGGCCTGTCAAAAATAGTCACAATTTGATCAAACAAAAAACGCAAAAATTTGTGGTAACTGGAGCATACCACGATTAAAATAAAGCTAAAATTGCTACTAAAACTAAAACACCAACAAAACTTGAAGAAAGGCTGTCTCTCTTTTTTCTATTACACCCCTTTGTCAGAAGATAAAATACGTTTTATTTTGCTACACCCTATATCAGTTGATTTTATAATTTTTTTTGGAACATTTATATATTAGAGTTTTTTATATTCTTTATCATTATGTAACATATTTTGCTACACCCTAGATCATTTACAATATATTTTGCTACACCCTGGATCATTTACAATATATTTTGCTACACCCTGGATCAGTTACAATATATTTTGCTACACCTTGGATCATTTACAATATATTTTGCTACACTCTGGATCATTTACAATATATTTTGCTACACCCGGGATCATTTTCAATATATTTTGCTACACCCGGGATCATTTCCAATATAATTTGCTACACTCTGGATCATTTACAATATATTTTGCTACACTCCGGATCATTTACAATATATTTTGCTACACTCTGGATCATTTACAATATATTTTGCTACACTTTGGATCATTTACAATATATTTTGCTACACCCTGGATCATTTACAATATATATCTTTTATTCTGAACCACCCAATATAAGTAGAAATGGTACATTTTATATCTTTTATTCTGAACACAGCTGGTTGATATTAATACATAAAAAGGGTTAGTTATATTCCTTATTAATACTTTAGCCAGAAACTTCAAGAAAAATTCTGGAATAGGAAGAAGATTTTTAGACTCAAGTTATGACTAATTGAATTGTCCGAAGGAATTGTGCATTGTAAACAGACTTAACTTAATAACTGGTTTATGAAGTTATTGGTAAAACTATGTTTGCTTTGTAAAAGCATATAACAGGTTAAGTAATGATATAATGTCGTCATAACAGCACATTACTTGTAATTACGCTGTTAATAACCCATTTCTAACATGAACTACGAAATAAACCTCAGTTGATTGAGACTCTGCTTTGATTACGGTATTAGAAGTAATTTAAGTTCTCGTTGAAAC